AAAAAAAAAAAAAAATTAGCCAGGTATTGGTGGCACGTGCCTGTAGTCCCAGCTACTCAGAAGACTAGGGTGGGAGGATCACTTGAGCCCAGGAGTTCAAGGTTACAGTGAGCCATGATTCCACCACTGCACTCCAGCCTGGATGACAGAGCAAGGCCAGGTCTCTAATTAAAAAAGAAAAATAAAAAAAGAAAGAAAATATTTTTATACAATTACACAATGTGTGTGTGTTTTAAGCTAAGTGTGATTACAAAAGAGTCAAAAAGTTAAAAAAATAAAAATTTATAAAATAAAAAGTTACAGTAAGCTAAGGTTAATTTATTTTTGAAGAAAAATTTTTTATTTATAAATGTAGTGTAACCTAGTGTAGAGTGTTTATAAAGTTGATAGTCATGTACAGTAATGTCCCAAGTCTTCACATTCACTCACCGACCCACCTAGAGCAATTTCCAGGCCTGCAAGCTTCATTCATGATAAGTGCCCGATACAGATGTACCATTTTAAATCTTTCATGTCACAGTTTTACTGTACCTTGTCTTTTTAGGTATGTTTGCATGCACAAATACTTCTCATTGTGTTACACTTGCCTACAGTATTCAGTACAGGAACGTGCTGTACAGGCTGGTAGCCTAGGAGCAATCGGCTCCACCATCTAGCCTAGGTGTGTAGTAGGCTACACTGCAGCTTTGTCTAAGTTCACTATATGATGTTTCGCAACGACCAAATAATCTAATGAAGCATTTCTCAGAATGCCTCTCTATGATTAAGTGATGCGTTAGTGTAAATATAATCAGTGCTAGGCTTTCTTCTGGATGCTTTTCCGGACACATCAGAGGATTCAACATATTGGCACTGCTAAAATCAGGAGAGAAGCTGAGTCTGGGGACAGTCCGAGAGCCACTCAGGGTCACACGGTTACTTCTCCTTCCTGAGTGCCTTGCCTGCCATGCTCTGCAGGGCACAGCTGGGCCTCATCTTACCCAGTCACTGTAGGCCCAAAAAGCTGTCTTCACTGGTTTTGCAAGATATTGGGAGGCACCGAGGGTAATTAAGTTTCAGTGAACAGGGCTACCTCTCAATGGTGTGTTGGTTGATATTCTCCTGAAAGTTCTGTTCCGAGCCCTCTCATTTCCTGAAATGCATCCCTTTGCCCTCCAAGATGTTCCAACCTGCAGCACTACTGTGGATCTGAGTAGCCCAGAACAGCCATGGGGGGCGGCCAAGGCTCTCTGTGGGGAATGGCAACATTCAGTGCCAGGGACCCACACCCAGCTAGCCCAGAGCTGTCCAAGGCAGCAGGGTTCTACTTTTGTCATTCAAATGGCTTGTTAGCAAACCACTATTTGATGAACAAAGCTTGTCTCTCAGTGCTGAGAAAATGACAGTGTGTATCCAGGGAATGGACTGACATTTGCAAGGCTCTCTCCATGTGGCTCCTTCAGTGTAGGAATAAAAATGAACCCTGGAAGTCACAGAATCTTCCGGACAAGCCTCACCATGGAATCCCTGGGCGCCTGCTCTGTGGGCTGTGTGGTGGATTCAAAGGAGAATGAGGCAAAATCCCCCTCAGAATCAGACTTCCAGATCATCTGGCTCTGCCTGCTCCTGACTTGCCTGCCTTAGAAACCCAGGGACCAGGGCCTCCCAGTGCCTTCCAAATGTAAATCCCTGGTAGAGAAGCCTGAGGCTGGGTATGTTAATCAAGAGACCTGGGTGATTCTGGAGATTTCAGCAAATGTAGTAAATAAGGATTCTAGCAAACTCCACTTTTGAGTGACAAAGGCTCAAAGAGAAGATTTGCCTTGGCCAAATCACAGAGTGTGGTAGCCAAGAGCCCAGGTCTCGACCCATGATCTTATCTGATGATCTTGTCACCACTGAATAATTTTTCTCTTACAGAGTTGTACACTTTTAAGCTATGAGTATGTCAAGGCATACGGAGCAGTATAATGGACATTGGAGACTCAGAATGAGAGTGGGAGGGAGGTGAGGGATGAAAAACTACGTGTTGGGTACGACTTACACGACTTGGGTGACAGGTGCACTAAAATCCCAGACTTCATCACTATACAATTCATCCACGTAACCAGAAACTATTTGTACCACTAAAGCTGTCAAAATAAAAAAACTCAAAATAAAAGAACAAGGTTGTACTCCTAACTGTGGAACAATTGGGTATCTAGGAGGTACCCAAAAATATGCCCATAAATGAAGGAGCTCCAGAAAGGAGATGTCACAATGAGTTGAGGAGTCTCAGATACTTTACAAGGACCCTATCCTTGGAATTTGGAACGGGGCCAAGGGGAGAAGGCAGGCCAGGCAAGGTTGAGAACACTCTGAGCAACGGCCTGGCACTAGAAAGACGGCAGTGTAGCTAGGTCCCTGAGGAGAGCGGGGGATGCAGGGGAGCTTGTGGGAAGATATTGGAAACTAGGTAGGTGGGGTCATAAAATAAAAATACCATATCCTTTTTTTTTTTCCTATTAGAAGGAGAAAAAAAAAACCCAGGACAATAGAAGTACTAAATGCAACTGAGAAACAAACCCTAAGAGAAAGCAGGTCAAAAAAACTCAACTACTTCCATAGTGTGGTGCAAAGAGCAGTCCTGGGAGCTGCCAGGAGATCTGGCTCTTGCTCTGCCACTGAACTAGCTTCTGATGGTAGGAAAGTTCCTTCCTTTCTGTGGGCCTCATACCACATGATTGTTGAGTGCCTCATTGCAATGAAGGGTTTTTTTTTTTTTTTTTTTTTGGCATATGGCTTGTAAGAAGGGACTTAGGATGACGAAAGGTGACATATGCTGAAATTGATAATGTAGCAAAATTAAAATGAATGGCATAGCAACATGAGCAATTTATTTTCCTCATGTGCATCAAACACATGATTATAACAAGAAATATTTAGAAGGTATTATAACAATAATTCTGGCAATCCAATTTAGCTATTTTGAGACAGGAAATAAAATTGGGGAAAAAATGTAAAAAATTTCATTTTTCTAAAGAAAACGAAAATACACTATACCTATGAAGAAATGTACGCTATGTGAACACTTTTAAAAAATAACATACTTGGAATTTTTAAAATAAGCCGAACAACCACATGCTTAGAAGCTCTACCAAATGACCTCTTGGTCCTTCCACGATTCTCTACTGGCACAGAGACTTTGTCTCCCACACTGACTTCAAATATCTTTGGGAATCTGTGCTCCTTATTTACTCAGTGCTTGAGAAGAACAGACAAAGCCAGTGGAAGGGTCCGAGTGTGGCATTCGCTGCATTTATAAAGAATAAGAGCTGCAGTGGGTATGATTCTTGAACAGAGTGGCGCTCATCCTTGTTCCTGCAATGAAGGACACGCCAGCCTCCAGGCTCTTTGACAGGTAAAGGGTTTTACTCCATCAGAAAAAGATTTTTGCCAGTTGCAAATAATGGTAATATTGTACTTATATGCCATGAGGTCATGGTCTGTGAAATTAAACTTAAATGACCAGGTTCCTGCATTTCTTTGAAATCTTTGCTGGCTACTTATTGATTCATATCCTCCTCAACAGGATTTACTAGCAGACAAGCAGTAGCAGCTGCCAACAGTCTAAAAACAGTTTTATAGGAGAAAACTTACAATTAAAATGATTTTAATATCATGACATATATGATTTTTTATATCATTAAATAATATGACGTTTTTTTACTCTGGTGTGTGAAAAGGTCACTCACTATTACCTAACTGTGATTTAAAAAATTTAATTATTATTATTTTTTAGAGACGAGATCTTGCTATATGTGTTGCCCAGGCTGGACTTGAACTCCTAGACTCAAGCATTTCTCCTGCTCAGCCTCCCTGTTAGCTGGGACTACAGGCCCGCACCACCACACCCAGTTTACCTAACTTTTAAATAGCCCAATGCCTCTGGCCCATTTGTCAGGCACAGTGTGAGACCGGGTGCTTAAGATATGCTCTGGGAGGGACCTGAGTTCAGCCCATCTTGAAAAGATGAGGGCAAGTCTATATACCCTGTTTACTAACATTTAGACTGATCCTCCTATCTCAGCCACTTTCCTGTTCTCAGAAATTTTATTTCAGAGGATCCTTTTTCCTAGTATGAGGAGATGAATTTTTCTGAGTTCCATGTACTTATGGACTTTCTTGTTTGTCTTCCACCCCCTGGTGCCCCATTTGTGGGACACATAATTGAGTATGCTCATTGAAAACAGCCGGAAACAAGAGAGGCCAGGCAGTATAACAGGTAAGGGCAGGACTTTGGAGACAGATAGGCTTCAGAGCCTTAGGTGTACCATTCATTAATTGAAAAGGACACTGTTTTTGGAAAGTGGTTCATCAGCCTAAGTACACTGTATTTCTAAAAACGGTCAGTTGGGGGAAATCTCTTCTTCCACTTCAACCCCATCCTTGGTCTTGTGGTTTGGGTGGGGCCTTGCTACCCAGTTCAGAGTGGAGCATGTGACATGGGCTCCAGACTATCAGAGCACTGCATCCCCCTGGCGACAGCGATTGGTTAAGGCTTGGGTAAAGGACCCAATGAAAAACAATGACACTTCTGTGGGAAGTTCTGGAAGAGACTCTTACACTGAAGCTGAAACTAGAAGCATGTAGTGCTAGCCTGACTGTAGTCGTCTTGCAACCAGAAGGGAATAAAGGCGAGAAAGCCAATGGATGGAGGAGGAATGAGAAATGAGGAGAGAGAAAGCATGTGCCTTGGTTAAGCATTACCTGAAACCTGTGTGTCTTCATTTTTAAGTACATGAGTCAATAAAGTTCCCTTTGCCACTTTCAAACCAAAGAATCTTGGCTGATATACTCTGAAATTTGGGGTAAATTACTTCATCTCTCTCAGACTTTATTTTAAAATGGAGGTAATACTGCCTACCTTGTAGAATCATTATGAACAGTAAAGGAGATGTATGTAAACAGCACAAATCCTAGTACTTAAGTATTTAATACATTTTAGCAATGAGAAATTATGAGTATTATTATTTTTATAATTATTAACTATTATAAAAAGACATTGTGTGACCTGGAAAATGAATATTTTATGGTATTTTTCTTCATGAGCATCAAGGCAAATTATAATAATAAAGATATTTAGGAGGTATTATAACAATGATTTCAGCAACACAATTTAGTTATTTTGAGAGTGTTCACAATGCCAATTAAATAAATGGCATATTTTTAACATTTGGTATCTTTAAATGTTATAGATGATATTGCCTTATCTTACCTGGAAATTTTACTGCTTGACAATAGATTACAAGGTCAGAAAGCTCTGGTGCAATCTGTCTGCTTTCCTTTTTATTCTGATCAAGATAAAATTCTTCTCCCAGTTCCATATCATAAACCTGGTAAGGGAAAAATGATACCATTTTACATGGAAGGTATATGCCACTCACCTCTGAGTTCCCAAAGCTCTTTTATCTGTCCTCCTCTGGTGTTATTACTGTATTTCCCCTTGAATGGTAATTGTCCATACACATGTCTCAACAGCTTTCCTAGAGTAAAAGCTTTCTGAGGGCAGGAAGTGAGTCTAATTCATCCCTCAGTGCATGGTCCACTGTCTTACATGTGGAATGGTCAATAAATCTTTGTTAAATAGAGGACTGACTATGTATCTTCTGTGGCTCAAATTTTTGACATATAATTCCATTGTCCAACAATGTCACTGCAACTGCATCTAAAGATTTGCTCAGAATCTATAAACCGTGAGGCACTTGAGGGTAGGATCTGGGTATCACATTTATCTTTCTATTCTCAGTGTCATTCCTCTGCTGTCTGGCCCCTGTTTATCTTCTTGGTCATCCCAAATGCCTTTAACACTTCTTGCAATTCCCTGGACATACCTGGCTGTCCTCTTGGCCTGAATGTTCTGTTTTTGTCTGTTTAGCCAAATCTTCCTTCTCAAACCTCATATTCCCTTAGAGCCTGTCCTTGATTCTCTGATAACACAGTATAATCACTGCTCTATGCACTAATCTTCAGCAAAGTTGACATGTCTGCCTCCATCACTAAACCACCTCCTGTGCCGCTTCAGTACCTGCCACACATACACCATCAGTAGGTACTGGTTGGATGAATCAATGACTAACTTTCCATAAATGGAAGGGGGGTGTTTCTTAATACCACCAAGTGAACTTTGGCATCTAAGGGAAAGTGAGGGGAAAGGTGAAAGGGAGGGATAGGGAGGAAGTGGATCCCATCTGAAACTGACAAGAGTACCACATGGTCCAAGTGTCATTTAACAGAAACCATTCACTGACCTTTCCTTTGTTGCAAGCAGAGTTATCTGCCTTCTTTATCCTCTTGGGGATTTCTTCACTATACTCAAACTGAAGCTTGTCATTACATGATTTATTTTCAGGTCTGTCTTCCAGAATGTTGTCTGAAAATAAGTTAGCAGGCTTCAGTGAAAAAGAACCCAATGCTTCACTTAAGAGCTACATGTGCATCATGTGAGGACATCCAGATACTTGTACTTATCTATAAGAATAAGGCTCTAACTATATAGTATGTTAACAAAATGATGGCTTGAAGCCTAACTGTAAAAATTGGGTTGATGCAGTTATTTTCAATTTAATTGATTTATTTACCAGTAGTTTTTGTCACTTATAATTTAAATGATTCAAAATAATCTGGCATATTGACATAATCTAAATGAAGATGCCAATTTTCATACAGATGATTGGAACTATGCAAATATTATGGAAGATATCCCATGTCAAGAAGCTGACAGCACACACGTTTGGGAAGGATTTAGTGGCTGAAGCACTTCTAGAAGGTACATACATGATTTAATCACTGTCACTTTGAAATGAAGCTATTTACTTCTTTTACCTTGAGAAATGCCAAAACCTGGGGGGAAAGACTTATTATTGGGTGTAGTGCAAAGTTTCTACAATTATAATTAAAAAGCAAAGTTTTCATGATTGTTATTAATTTACTAAGTGATAATCATAACAGAAAATAAAAGATATCTAAATATCATATCATGAGATATAATCTTATATTTTGCTCTGTTTTTGCTTTTCTACTCGGAATGACTCTAAGGGTATTAGAGGTGTATCGTGATGATGACTTTTTAAAATGAAAAACAAGAAAGCTAATTTCTCACTAAGATTTAGTATCACATCATCAGAGCACAAATGATTAGACCAAAAGGACCTTATACCAAATCAGGGCCATGCAGGCTGACAAGAAGTAAATGAGATAAATCATTGCATTACATTTGTATTCACGGAAGTATCACAACGTCATGCTAACCGGGCCCAAGAAATTGGAAACAGAATGCTGACGTCCATGCAGTTAAAATGCCCCGTTCAAATGGCATTTACCTTCCTGACCGTTAGGAGCAGGGGAGGCAGTAAGGACATCTGCTACAGAAAAACAGAATCAGAAAGGGGTAAAGGAAGGAGAAAATTAAGACAAACACCAGATAAATTAAACAAAGGTATGAAGCAAAGCACAAATAACAGCAGCTTAGATTATAAATAAATGAAACAAGAAATGCTCTATAGATTTAATGTTTTGACTGTTGAACGATGCAAGGACTAGCAGTAAACGAAATGTAAACATTACTAATGTGAATCATGCCAAGGGCTGACACATTCATGTTACATATTTTCAGTTACTGACTATTGTAATATTCCCAATATGACTTCATTTCAAACGTACAGAAACAGATTAATTTCTTGGAATTGTGCTGTCATTGTCATAGAATATGTCTATGTTAAGTCATAAATTCAAATTTGTCTGCAGTGTATGTTCAAAACTAGACACAAGGTAAACGACAAGGTTGGGAAAAAGTATTAAGAATTTATTACCCAAAAGGCAGAGTTACAATTTCTCAAATAAATAACTCTCATTTGCAACTTCCTTAGGGTTTACTTGCAATAATTCTGTGGCTAGGCATTATCTCATTTTTATAGCCCAGATGGTGTTAGATTAATTCCTTTATTTAATCGGCATGAAAACCAAGGAGAAGAGATGCCACAGAGATAAACTGGGCACCCTGACTTTAGAGATGGGTTCCTAATCTAGGATGCCTATGAGGGTCTCAGGAAACTTGTGAAACTCTTGCAGTTGTGCAGAATTTTGAGAGCACGTTTTATTTTTCAAAGGTGACAGCTCTCATCTGATTCTCAAAAGGACACATTATTACAAGAAGCTAGGAAACCTTTGAGGCCCCCTAACAGGCTGGTAATGGTGCTTCCCACAGCAGGTAGATTTCTGTTCTCCATCCCTGCTGGAGAAAGTGGAGATGGTCACAACAATAATCAAAGGCATATGGCTAGTAAGGCATTTAATAGTCACATATGGAAGCCTTAATTGGACAAGCTTCAACAAGCAGAACTACAAGGCCTGCATAAGTCACAGCATAACTACAAGGCCTGTTTGAGAATCATCCAGTCAGAGGGATCTTTCAGTGAAGGGGGAAATACTCATGTAGTGGTAGTGGGCTTAAGCGGTCATACATTATAGATGTTAGTGCTGGAAGTAGAGGAAGAACATCACCAAACACTTCGCAGAACCTTTTCATTACGTGTCTGAGGCAACTAAGGCCTAAAGTGGTGAAGACATTGCCCCAGGTCTCACAGTCTATTGGAACAGAGCCTTGCGTGGTCCCCTTTTCCAATGATACCCCACCTTTGTATATGTGGATTGTTAAAAATGCATGTAACTTATCTTAGAAATTCAGTGGTATAGGACTAAATTTTACTGTCCCAAATGAAAATAAATCAGAAAATCCTTCTCTTACCTGTTCATTTTGTTATTTGCAAATCAAAACCATCTATAATAATTTTTTGTTATTTCTTTATGTGAAATCTACAGTATAATAATTTCTAAAAAGTCTTTTCCTTCCCTGTTCTCAGAAGTACAGAAAAAGCACAGGAGCAATTTATGAAAGAGCAAATTTGTTTTCTAGTGGACTAACTACTTATAGGGGCATATGACATCTGGATTAGTTGATTTCTTAAGTGTGCTTTTCATTTCATATCTGAATCAATTTGTTCTTCTATGGGGCATTACTGCAACTGTAATGGGGAAGAAATCCATGGGGAAGAATAAGTTAATTTAAAAAATTCACATTCCCATGACTTTGCAGAGAAATTGTCTTGACTCCTTTTAATTTTTTTTTCTCTTACTATCTGATGAGATATGTCCCTCATATTAGCTCATGGGGTTTCAGGTGTAGCAAACTGGCTTTTAATTGGTGGTATGGAGCAATCAACTATTACTAAGGACAAATACTAAATGATGTAGTTTGGTATTATATTTGGGGGCAGACAGACACCGCAGCATAACCAGTGATGGAGGCTCACAAAACTGAACTATGATTGGAGACAATTCAAATTTCTGCTGAGGCGCAGATATTTGGAGGAGGCTCAGTTGTCTTAATGCTTGAGACGACTTAATGGTAAATGGTTTCTGGTCTGGGCATATCTGCATATTTAGCAAAACAATTATTCTACATAGAAACAATATATTCTACTATATAATGTTTACAGAAATAGGAACCTTGGCATTTTCTTATTATTATATTGTTGTCTTTCAGACATCACCAAAATGAAACAGTCTACTATCAGCAAAGGTACCTGAGTAAACATTCTGCAATCTCTAACAAATGTTTAACGCAAATGAAACACACTGAAAACCTAATTCTCATGTGAGAAGAATCCTTCGCTAGTAATCTGTAGTTAACATCAATTCATGTGGCTTTTTTGTATTGTGTCATTAGTATTACCCATGTTTTTTCTCTTTGGTTGGGCCAGAAGGAAAGATCTTGTTGGCTTAGTGGTACGAAAACAGGGAGGGAGGGGAAATGAGGCTCCTTTCTTTTCCCTGCTAGAATGCCAGAGCAAGAGTGTGAAAGGAACGGAGAGCACAGAGCCGTGATGCTGCCCCCTGCTGATGGTGCAGGAGAAAGGATGCAGCCTCAGTGTACGATTCCCGCCAAAAGTACCAGACACACTAGAAGCTAAAGGGTGAAAATAGGGTTTCTCTGCTGCAATTCCATCTCTTCCTCTAGAAACTTGTCATAGGAATGACTCCCTGTAACTTCCCCACCTGCCTCTTCTTTCCTTAAGTAGTGGCTAACAGAATCCCCTTCCTTCCTCAGTCCTTGCTAAGTGACTGAATTCAGAAACTCCTGTACAGTATTACAACCATCTGTAGTATTGGTCTTTGGAGCTCTAGACTTATTTTAGAAAGAAAAAGGTGGAAAATCATCCAAGAATTTTCCTGTGCACAGCAGAGGGATCTGTTTCTCTTACCATCAGAAAGGGATTCATAGTCATAATCATATTCGTCCTCCTCATCTTCCTCTTCCTCATTATTGGCAGGTGGGGGGTTGGCATTCCCACCATTATAAGCCTGCGCTTGCATAGATGCTAACTGATGAGCCTGTAAAATAGCAATAATTGTAAACTGCAGATGCCAAGCTACTGAATTCATTTATAACCTTCAAAACTACCCCTGATGTTTAACACAATCATTAAAAGTAGCTTAACCTATTTTGATACATTTGGGAGAGGAGGAAAAACATCTAGATTCACTTGAAACACAATGTCAACACTTGGGTGAACTTCAGCATTCCTGCAGGAAGAGTCCTGGAGCTTTTACACACAATCTCCAGAAGACCGTGTGCGGTGCTCAGCTAGCCAGGTTCCCGGGACAACCCCTCCAAGAGAAAGTTTTGGTGATTTGGAGAACCAGCAGCAATCCCAAATGACTGAAGAAGTGAGTCACCCATCAGTTTTTCAAAAGTATGTCTCTGTTAAGAAACCATTTTTTCCCCTTCTTAAAATAATATCTACAGGCCCCTGACCTTGAGAACAATGTTAGAATCCCTATGGACAAAGAGGCCAAAAGAATTGTTGTTGGTTTAAATAAAATTTTTTTCAAAAGGCTTTCTGAACCATAAATCAGATTAACAAAACAGGCCTAGAAACTTTAGGAAACTTGATGTGTGCAGCCAGGGAGGTCACATACTCCACGTTTACTGGAATTACTGTGAAGTGATAAGCATCAGTACAGGTCTGGGAACCAACCTAGCTTAAGAAAATCATCTGAAATATAGGAAATGTTACTTGCATGAACTAAATGCAGGAAACAACCTAGAAGTTCAACAATAGAGGAATGGGATCAGTAAGCAGTGGTTGTCTGCTGGAGAGAAAGACATGAAAAAATAATTGTTATATATTTATTGAACAAAGGAATTGAACAAATTCTTTTGTTCAACAAATTCTTTTATTCAATATTTATGCATTGAATATATTATATAGAATATTGTATATGCACACATACATATACAATTCTGCATATGTGTGCATACATGTGTGTTAACATATACTCTATATAATGTATGTGTGTGCATACAGAAAATAGCTATTCATGTAAATATATATACTACATAAATATACACATAATTCTGTATTCTTTGTTTTATGTATTTAAAGTGCAATTATATAAAATGACAGTCATAAAGTGCTAGATATTAAATGTTAATACAGCAGGGGTTCTTCACTTGTTTTTGTGTCACAGACTTCTCTGGTTGTCTGGTGAGATAGGATCCCTTCTTGGAATGATGTTTTAAATGTATAAAATGAAACGGTTACAAAGGAAATACTGTTGAATACAGTGATCACATGTTATAGGAACAAATTTGTGCTATTAGAATATATGTGTTTTTTTATTAACACAGTAGAAAGCATAGTAGTAGGTTAAGTAACATTTTTGAAAATATAAATTGAGCATAAATAATTCTTGGAGATATTAGCGACAACTGTGAAGTATAATGAAAAAGTTGCCATTTCGATTGGTGACAATAGGTATTGCCTATATTACTGTAGTTTATTCCCACATTTATAATCAGAGGAAATGCTAAATTTCAGCTAGAGGTTAGTGAACATAAAGATGTATTTTTTTCCATTTATATTTATAGACTCCCTAAATTCCATTTGTGGATATTACCAAGGTTAAGAACTTGTGTAATATAGTTGTGTTTGACCCTGGAATTATGTATGTTTTAAAATAATTCTCTAGTCCCTAAATTTTTGAAATGTGGGTATATTACCTTTATAATGAATATGTATACATAAGGAAGATACAATTTAGGCTGTGTCCATATCCATATGAAATGTATTACAAAGTAGTCCATTCCAGATAACTGGATATTGTCTAGGCTGAGATTTCTCAAAGTGGGTTTTATGGAGTTCTATGGGTATTATTAGGTGTTATGGAAAAACTGACAATTACAGGAACCGCAAAATACATTGAATGCCTGGAAACAGCAGCTTAACCAAACCTGAACACATTCCTACTACAGGGTTTCACACAGCCTTCATTTAATACGCTAAAGGGCATCACGAGTCTTCAAAGATCTCCAGTGCATCTTCAAAGATCTCCAGTGAAATCAGTCTCAAATAAACATTTTCCATGCTTACTTAACCAGGGAATTTCTTTCCCCCCGTCTTTCTCTTCTCAGAGTCTCTCATAGGATTAGTGTTCTTCAAAACTTTGGGAAATCTGTTGTAGGCACAAGTGAGCCACAAATGCAGGTCTCTTTATCGCTGATAAGAGAAGGGCCTTGACTTAGTGAGCACTCAAGGTAGCGCCAAGTCATGGGAATGATGAGGCCAAGGGCTGGACAGACCCACTGGCAGGGAAGCGTGAGTACTGTATGGGAGAAGGACACCGCTCAAAGAACCACGAATAGCAGTGTCTGAAAGTAGAGTGCCAAGGCCCCTGAGATGCTCAAGGAGAAGCATGGGAGAGGTAGCCCAATGAACAGCCAATAGCTGGGACCCTTCTACACAGTATCCTACTTATTCTAGGGTAGAAAAATGGGACCTCAGCCCCTGAATAAAAGTAACTCGGATATAGGTTGGGGTTGGAGGTATGGGTCAGATGAGGAGACTGGCCCTCATAGGGCTAAGCAGGAGCAATGTCTTACAATTCTCTGTTTCCCCAGTACCTAGCCACAGTGCCTGTCATCTAGGGTGAACTGTTTGAGTTTTTTTGGTTCAAATTCAGGAGAGCAATGTCAGAATCCTGGAGGATCATGGTGGGGTATAGTTAGGAGACCTCAGGATGCATCTCAGTACAAGCCAGAGGCAGGTGGAGGGCTTCAGAAATCCTGCTGAGTCAATCCATCCTTGCTGAGGGTGTGTTCTTTGTATGGAAATGACACAGGCCTTCTATGTTAGGGGGTAGGTCGGAGCCCATGGAGCTCTGGGCATTCACCTGGTTTATTTGAGGTCAGATCACTAGGTCTAGACCCATGATCTACCAGAAAACAGAAAGGCCTTACACATACGACTGTGGAATCATTGCTGGTATCCCCTGGGAAGTCATCATGAAAGGTCGCAGTCTTAGAAAACTGGAAATAGGATTATGTTGTCCCATTTGTCCAAAATGAGGAACAAGTAAGTTGTGGACATTATACTGTGGACAGTGTCAAGGTGATAGTTGACAAAATTTCATGATGGGGTATTAATCACTTGGTTTGTGAGAACTTAGAAAATAAAGAGGTGATTTGCAAGAGTTAGAATGGATCTACTAAGAACAAATTTACTGCACAGTAACCTCCTTAGCTTTTTTGGATAAGATAATTCACTTTGTGGGAAAAATAGCAGATAAATCGTGTTTCTCAAACTTTCAGGATAATAAGAATTATTATTGCTATTATTTTTTCTGCAGACACCATGGTGACTTAAGGAATTATTTTTTTATAAACAGATGAGCAGGCCTTTCTTCTGGCAATTCTGACTTAGTCAGATTCGTGACCTTAGAATCTGTTTTTCAAAGTGCTCCAGCAACTATTCTTATTAAAGTATTCTGACTTCTGTATCACCTTTGAAAAGGGCTTCTCTAAAGACCGAGACTAAGCTCTACTGCTGTGAGCTGGTTGGCCTTGAGAAAGTCACACAAGTGGCCAGGCTTCAGTTTTCTATTTTATAAATAAAGAAATCAATAAAGACGTTGAAGCACCCTCTGGGAAATGCGGGCTACCAGAGAGGAGAGCACCAGACAAAAGCAACAATCATCAAATGCCAGGGGGGTTCTTTAAGAAGGGCACAGGCCTCTCACGTGGCTGGCTGACTCAAGGCAACTTGGGATGAAGACACAGTTTGAGAAATTGCTAATAAATGTACCAGATGACAGAAACAAAATACACAAAGAACCTTGTAGGATGTAATAATATACCGAAACCAAGAAGAGCAAAAATAAATACGAGGCTCCCATATACAAAAGGTTAAAATTCATTGTTAATCTGGAAAAATGGGAACACTGGGCATAAGAACAGTCTATATGAAAATAACTGAATGATTTTGTTTTCTACAAGCTCAACATGAGCCCGGGGTGTGCTAAATCTGTTTTTTTTTTATTTTTTTTATTTTTATTTTTTTTGAGTCAGGGTCTCACTCTGTGGCCCAGACTTGTATGCAGTGGCACAATCATGGCTCATTGCAGCCTTGGCCTCCCAGGCTCAGGTGATCCTCCTGCCTCAGCCTCTCCAGTAGCTGGGAATACAGGCACATGCCACCATGCTCGGCTAATTTTTATATTTTTTGTAGAGATGGGGATGTGATATGTTGCCCAGGCTGGTCCTGAACTCCTAGATTCAAGCAATCCACCTCCCCTGGCCTCTCAAAGTGCTGGAATTACAGGGGCGAGTCACAGCGTCTGGCCAAGAATTTTTGAAAGGAAGACAGTCTGAGGCTGCATTAACAAAGGTTTAAAGTTCAAATTAGGGGAGGTGATGGTTTCACTGATCTTGTGCTGTAATATACTACCTAGAATACTGACTTAGTTCTGGAAATCGCATTTTAAGATTGACAAATTCAAGAATATCCACAAATTTAAGAATATCTACGATATTCTTAATGGTAAGGAAAGAGACTTAGCAAACATATCCTGTCAGGAACAGTTGGCACAACAAGAATTTTTAGCTTGGAGAAGAAAAGCTGGTGGGGAAACACATGATAGCTTTCTAAATATAAAATTAGTCTGTACAGCTGCAGAGAGAAGAGGGAGGGCCAATGAGAAGGAGGAACAGGAAGGAAGATTTGGGCTCAACATAAAAAAGACTTCTGTTCATTAGTGGAATGAAAGCCTTATAAGTAACTGCAAATGACTGTGCACAGAATGGAAAAGGCAAAGACATTCACATTTATCTTGAAGACCATAGTGGTATGTGTGGTTAGCAGCTTTATCTGCTTGGCAGTGAGGACCGGGCAGGAATTGTTGGATAAAGAAAACAGCACAGATGAACAGGGCTCTAGAAGAAAGTGTTTTTCTTTCTAGAAGTGCTTTTTCTTCTGCTGGGTGGTCAGTCACTGATGTGGCATTTGAGGAAGGTCAGGTAGAGTATACATGCTAACATTTAAATAACTTAGTAACAAGGTCATCAGCATAGGTGCCATGGCCTCTGAAACTCAAGCAAAGGCCAGGTCACCTGGAGCAGCTTTGGAAGTGCAGATCTGGATGTCGACCCAGTGGAGGTCTCCAACTGGTGGCCCTTGGGGCTGACTTCACCTCCAGACCTGACTGGTTTGGCTGGTGCAGTGTTTTAAAAATAATTGAATTAGAGCTGTTCATTGATGGGGCGTGCACCCTCCACTCCTGTCCTCACCACTTCCAGCTGTCCTGTATCCAGCTGGCTCCTCACACTGATGTTTCCTGCTTAGCCCCTGAAGGTGGCTGATTTTGCAACTTTTGGCCCAGAGTCGTGGGTGATCTTCAGATTGGGTCATGTATACCTTCAGAGTACACAAACACTTCAAGGGAGTATGCAAGTTCGGATGTTTGTAAAGAAATTGGTTTCTGTATGTTTAGCATCTATGTGCCTGTATTCTTTGAAAAACAGGTCAGCCTGAGAGCAAGTGGGCTAGTTTCCAAAGTGATG